TATGTTTAATAAGAATGGAAATGTGTAGCCTATATCAGATTGTGCGCTGTCTTGGGGAGAGAGGTGGGGAGGGAGGAGGAGAAAAATTTAAAACTCAAAAGCTTATGGAAGTGATTGTTGATAAATCAAAATAAATTAATAAAGTAAAAAGATGATAAAAAAAGAAATATATTCAGAACACATACAAAGTGAATACAGGGCAATTTGGGAAGGAAAGGCACTAGTAGAAGAGAGTACTAGTAATGCCTTCATGTAGAAGGTTGCACTGAATCTGTGTCTTGTGGTTTCGTCTCACCAGGTCTCAGTGCTGGGGATAAAATTCTCCTCATTACATAAGAATCTCTAAGGGGCAGCTAGGTGGCACAGTGGATAGAGCACCAGCCCTGAATTCAGGAGTACCTGAGTTCAAATCCGGCCTCAGACACATAACGCTTACTAGCTGTGTGTCCTGAGCAAGTCACTTGACCCCATTGCCTAGCCAAAAATAAATAAATAAATAAAAATTTCTAGTTCATCTTGCTTTTTTGGTAAGGCAGTTGGGATTAAGTGACTTGCCCAGGGTCACACAGCTAATGAGTGTCATGTGTCTGAGGCTGGATTTGAACTCAGGTCCTCCTGACTCCAAGGCCAGAGCTCTATCCACTGTGCCACCTAGCTGCCCTATTCATTTTGCTTTTAACCTGTACTCTATACATTTGCACACAAACATATAGAGTCATAGATTTTATTACTTTTTTCCCTCTCCTATGAGCTTCTGAGTATCCTTGTTACCATTTACAAGCATGTGACGCTTGCATGTGGTTTTCACAGCTACAAGGGCAGAATTTCTCAGATCCTAATGTATAATCATACTCATATCACAGTCTACAATCAGTATCAATATTCAATCAATATTCAAAGGATAGAGAGAGAATAAGTAACAACAGGCAGAATCCACCTGCTGATTTATATAACAAGAATCCTCAGGTCAGGCGGTATGCACAATGCTGTTTGCCATTCAAAGCCCTTCATAATCTAGCCCCCTCCTACTTTTCTAGTGTTCTCACACATTACTCCCCAACAAGTACTCTGATCCAGTGACACTGGGCTCCTGGCTGTTCTATGAACAAGGCGCTCCGACTTGGCTCCGGACATTTTCTCTGAACGTCCACCATACCTGGAACACTTTTCCTCTCTCCCTCTGACTACTGACCTCTCTGGCTTCCTTTAAGTAACTTTCCCAGCTGAAAATACACCTTCTACTGGAAGCCTTCCTCCACCCCTCTTAATTCTTCTCTTAATTAGTTCCTATTTCTTCTTTGTGCACTCAATACAGCCAGAGTTGCAGCAGAGTATGGATCAATTCTCTGCCACTTGTACTAATTTTAGCCTGACAATTAACACTAAGAAAACAGAGGTTCTCCACCAGCCAGCACCACACCATCCATATGTGGACCCATCAGTTAGAGCAAATGGAGAAATATTGAGTGCTGTGGATAAGTTCGATTACCCTGGCAGTATACTTTCAAAGGATGAACACATAGATGATGAGGTTAACACACGCATTGCCAGAGTTACCTCAGTGTTTGGGAGGCTCCAAAGGAAAGTGTGGGAGAGAAGAGTTATTAGAGTGCTTACCAAACTGAAGATCTACAGAGCCATTGTGCTGACTGTTGCATGTCTGTGAAACCTGGACAGCACACCAGCACCATGCCAAGAAACTGAATCTCTTCCATTTGAATTTTCTTAGGAAGATTCTGTAGATCACCTGGCAAGCTAAGATAGTGGACACAGAGGTTCTTTCTCTTTGCCAAGCATTCAAATTCTATGACAGAGAATTCAACTCTGATGGGCTGGCCACATTGTTCAAATTTTTTTTCAAAAACTTTTTCAAAGTTTTATGGAGAACTCACACAGGCAAGCACTCACACAGAGGTCAGAAGAAGTGTTACAAGGATACTCTCAAGGTCTCTCTGAAGAACTTTGGAATTGATTAATTTGGGATTGATTAATTGAGACATGGGAGATACTGGCACAGGACCACCCAGCATGTCATGCTGTCATCAAAGAAGGTGCTGTGCTATAATGAACAAAGCAGAATTGTAGTAGCTCCAGACCAAAAAAAAATGTGAGATGCAAAATTTGGAGACATCTCCACTCCAAATGATCATACGGACTATTTGCGCCCAACCTATGGTAGAGCCTTCTGAGTTCATATTGGTCTGATCGGCCACAGTTGAACACTCTATACCTTGACATTGACATAGTGATATCATTTTGGTCCTCTTTGAGCAAGAAGGATAACAACCACAAGCACTTATGCTGTACATAGCTTGTTTTGTATGTATTTGTTTGCATGTTTTCTTCCCAAATAGATTGCAAGCTCCTTGACAGCAGGGACTACCTTTTGACTCTTTTTTGTATCCCCAGCACTTAGCACAGTGTCTGGCACATAGTAGATGCTTAGTAAATGTTGATTGATTGATGGAGCTTATTTCTGTATACATTGAAGCTGAGTGATCTCCCCTTCCACGGCAGAGCCGTAAGAAGTACAAACTTACCAAAATCTCAACTAGAAGAGTGACTTTGGAGTAGAAAGACTCATGGTTTTGTGTAATATGGAGACTATAAATTTTTTTATATCTATGCATTATATCTATGAAGGGACTTAGTCTATGTTGCAGAACTTGTCAGAGCAAAAGATAGAAGTCAGTTACCACTTGGAAACTTCCTTTGACAATAAGATCTTTTCAGAACTGACATGTATAGTATAGTGCAGAGCTGATGAGTCTTGTCTGAGTGTTTTTCCATTCATACCACAGGCACTGAAGGATAATTTTGCATAATGGACAGAAGGTCAGAAGACCTGTATTCAAATTCTGCCTCTGATACATAGGGATCATGAGTAAGTCATTTATCAGGACAGCTAGGTGGTACAATGGATAGAGTACCATCCCTAAAGTCAGAAGGACCTGAGTTCAAATCAGACCTCAGACCAAGCACTTGACATTTACTAGCTGTGTGACTCTGGGCAAGTCACTTAACCCCAATTGCCTAAAAAATAAAAAAGAGTAAGTCACTTATCCTCTCAAGGCCCCAGTCAGCTCTCTACAATTATAAATTATCTCCACAGTGGTTAAATCATAGAACTGGTCCACACACACAAACAAAAAGTGAGGACATAACTGTAATAAGACACAGTACCCAAGAGAAACTGAGAGCACACTCATTGATGCTGCCTACATCCAGAGTGTTAACCAGCCCTGGAAGCTAGCATCCAAAGGCCAAAGGATTTTCAGACATGACAGATTTTTTAAAACATTCTCTCAAATCTGTTTTGCATGATCACACATGTATAACCTATATTAAATTACTTGCCATCTTAGGGAGAGGAGAGGTGAGGAAGGGAGAGAATTTGGAACTCAATTTTTTTAAAAAATGAATGTTAAAAATTGTTTTTACTTTAATTGGGAAAAATACAATATTAAAAAACATATTCCCCAGACTACAAACAATTTTTGAACCTCAAAAGAAGTGAAGAATTAAGAAGGTGGAAGGAGAAAGGAAGAAGAGGAAAAAAGAGATGGATAAAGAAGAAGAGAAGAAAAAAGGAAAAAGAAAAGAAAATAGTGTTGTTTTCTTAGTCACTCACTTGCTAGCAATTGCTCAACATCTTCAGTGAATTGGTCATGTTTATTTTGTTTCACAAAATTATTACATGATGGTTTCCTTAGCATATTAAATTGCTAAACTTGACTTCCTTTCCCTTGCCTTCATTCCTCACCCCAGCCCCTAGCCTCAGCCATCCCAGGACCTAACCAGGAGAGTCAAGGAGAAGGAAGATGCTAGCCACCCTTCTCCCCTTTGCTTCCCCCAACTGGGACTACCCAGAACCCATCCAGGCTACTAGATTACATTACTTTAGCTAAAGTGTTCATAAATCATTCCTTTCAGTGAGATGGAGGACTACCAGGTCTTGCCATCTGTCCTGCCACTATGCCCTGAAGACCCCTGGTACCATCACTTGACTTATTAACAGTACCTCAGGAATCATGGACCTTGCCAACTTCCCTGTCCTGAGGACCTCTGGATTTTTTCATCTGCCTTGCAGCCAAGCTTTGTTTTATGTGTTGTGTCCCCTCAGTTAAAGCATAATCCCCTTGAGAGTTTTATGTGTTGTCTCCCCCAATTAGAGTGTAAACCCTAAAACTTTGGCAAAAATTTTCATAATAATCATCTCTGAGAACAGCCTTCCAAACTTTCTCTCTCAGGTAAGTTTCTTAACATTCAGCACAATAGCATCTCCCTCTAAACGCTCTAGTGATTAAATTCATGATCCAGTGATTTGTCCAAAATGTTCCATCACCTCATTACATCACACTATTTCCTAAAATAACTTTAAGCAGTATCTGTGTGAGTTAGACCAGTGCCTGGCATAATGTCTTAATTTCACAATCTAACCTACAAATTGTTCAGCAAATCAGTGATAAGCTAGGAGAAAACTCCCAGTTCCTATGATTCTCAGCCCAATTTTTTATTCCAATCTGGGGTTATGCCACATATACTAAATATATTTCCATGTTTGGTACACTTCCTGGGCTCGGATATAATCCACACTGCATCCATTTCAAGATGACTGCAAGCTTTTCTTTCATTTTTTTTTCTCTGAAGAGAAAATTATTCGTTGATATTCTCTATGGCAACTCTGGCCTTCCCAAAGCCTACAGAAACAGCAGGACAAAGGGAGGAATGAACGAACGAATCTTCCTGAAAATGAGTCTATGAAGGATCATCATTTTGTAGTTAAAACACTTGTGACATAGCAAAGCTTGTACAAAAAGGAATATTTATTTCAATAGAGAATCACAAATATGCAAACACATTCACCCTCACTCATGAGATGCATAATCCTCCTCCCCCTCTTTACCACCTCATTCTCTGAGGAAGGAAAAGGTATTAGGTTCATAGTTTAGCTCCCTTCCCTTAAAGCATAATCCCAGCTACAAGTTCAACCTCCTCACCTCAACCCCAACCCTGGGGCTTGAGTGTCTAGGCTTCTTAGTAGTTCCATGCGGAGATGACTGGCAATTTAGCTCTACCTGTAATCCAGGCTCCAAATCTCCAGGGCTTGAATTCCTTGTTCATAAAGATCACTTCCTGCACCTGACACTGAGAACAAACAATACAAGATAGAAACAAAAATTCTCAAACCCCATTTCTCGGAGCCAAGTAAAAGAAAGGTAAGTAGGGGAAGGAGACTCCCTCCCATCTTACTCGTTCAGTTCATGGCCTCCCCTGGATGCAGCAGCTAAGAGCACAGTCAAAAAGATGCTGGAAAAGAAGAGTCCGGTTCAGTCTTAAAAGCTTTATTTAAAATTTATTTAATTTTTAACTTATAAAATAAAACAAGCATTTCCATAACAATATAATTTTAAAAAGATGATTGCACATGAAACTTTAAATCTGTATATATATATAACATATAAATATATAATATATAATATTTATCATAATGATAATAATAACATTTATATTCATAAAATTTTATTATGATAATTATATAATATATCATAATATATAAATATATAATATATAAATCTGTATATATATCTTACCTATATATAGGTATATATCTATATGTATAGATTTAAAATCATTCTACACATATTTCTATTTATCAGTTCTTTCTCTGGATGCAGATGGTTTTTCTTCATATGTCCTTTATTTCAGTTTGTGTACTTGTAATAGTCAAAATGACAGTCACTCAAACTCATTCTTAAAATAATATTGCTGTTGCTATAGACAATGTTCTCTTGGTTCTGCTCATTTTGCTCTTCATCATTTCATGTAAGTCTTTCCATGCCCTTCTAAGATTATTGAGTTCATCATTACTTATAGTACAGTAGTATTCCAACACAACCGTACACCACTTGTTCAGCCATTTCCCAGTTGATGGAGATCCCTGCAACTTCCAGGTCTTTGCCATCACAAAAAGAGCTACTATAAACATTCCATTCACTTTCATAGTTATAATTACGATTAGTGAATTTCCCTCCATCTTACTTTTATTCATTATTTTCTTTCTCAACCTCTCTTTTTACCCTCTCCTTGTTACATTACCTTCTCCTCCCACTCTCCTACTCCCCATCCCACCCTCCAAGAGTCCTCCCCACCTTCTGTCCCAATTAACATACCCCTCCAAAAGTTCTTCTCCTATCCTCCCCCCCACCCTCCCAAATCCCAGTCTACACACCCCTCTAAAAGTCCCTCCCCAACCCTGTCTCACTAGTTTTAAAGATGCAGGCAACATGTTAGGCAAACTGACTGTGCTCAATGACAGGTTACACACTAATGAAAAGTAATTCCCTACTTATTAATTGTTGACTTTTTCTTTATATGCTCTTCCTGAACAACAAATAGCAATTTAGAAGTTGACCAAAAATAAATTCATCCTTTCTCAATCTCCAAAAATGTCTATCAACATCCAATTTGGGCAGAGTCAAGATGGTAGCTTAAGAGGATGTAGTATACCTTAGTTCCCCACCATATCTCCTCCACAAATATCTACACTGAATTTTTATTGGCAAAGCCAGTCCAGCATGGCTTAGGGAGATAGACAGAGAAGCCTTCAGACACTGGAGATGGGGTCCATTCAAGGACCTGCAGTATGGAGCTTTCCAACACCCAGGGACTGAAGGAGAGCTGAGACTGGGCACCAAAGCGATAAGCACAAAGCCACAAAGAGTTCCCAAGGAATTCCTGAATGAGCACAGTGTACAGGAACAGGCTATCTGGTAGCTCTATCGCCCACTACCCAGCTCCAGGTCATAGATCTAGAGTAGAAAGTAGTAATCTCCATCATGGTCCCTGGCTGTGAACTGATTAAGGAACAAGTTATGCAAATAAATCATACCTGTAGGTCTGATGCCAGGAACAGAGCAGGCCATCATGGAAATCTACAGTAGAATAACCAGACCAAGAGTCTTACAAGAAACGGGAGCCTATAGTTCAGTCACTCTTAACCTACCAAGTCTACCAGTGGATTACTGGTGGCCAAGTCCAGCAGCAGTCTATTGAAACCTCCAACCACAGACAAAGCATTAGACCCAGTTTTGGGTCAGGAATTTGCCAAACCCAGATCAATGGGGGCAGTGAGAAGACTTTGTTCTAAATCACATCACTATGAAAGCACTGAAAGTTTGCAGATCCCCAGACCAAGCTGTGGAAGCAGTGGAAGGATAAAAGAGGACAAGGGGGCAGCTAGGTGGCACAGTGGATAGAGCACCGGCCCTGGATTCAAGAGGACCTGAGTTCAAATGAGACCTCAGACACATAACACTTACTAGCTGTGTGACCCTGGGCAAGTCACTTAACCCCATTGCCTAGCCAAAAACAAAAAAACAAAAAAAAATTAAAAAATAAAAGAGGACAAAAACTCAAGCCAAACAATCCCCTCCCCCCCCAAAAAAATACATAGAGCCCAGCGCTAACATAAAGTTCAAAGTCAAGAAGTGGTGCGGAAACATGAGCAAAAAAAAATAATAACCCCACCATAAAGAGCTATTATTGTGACAAGGAAGCACAAGACACAAACCCAGAAGAAAAGAATAACTGAAAAACATCAACAGGTAAAAGCCTCAGCAAAAAATGTTCCTTGAACATAAGTCCAACAAGAATGCCTAGAAGGGTTAACTAAAGCAAGGATTTTTTGAAAAGTGCTAAAAAAGATTTTTTAAACCAAATGAAAATTGTAAAAGAAAAAATAGAAAAAGAAATAAGAGATAGGGCAGAAAGATATAAAAAGAGAATTAACAGCTTGGATAAATAGACAAAAAAACCTTTATGAAAGAAAATAACCTTTTGAAAATTAGAATTGACCAAATAAAAACTAATGACTCCATGAGATATCAAGAAATAATTAAACAAAGTTAAAAGACTGAAAAATAGAAGAAAATGTAAAATATTGCATGGGAAAAACAACTGGCCTGGAAAACAGATCATGGAGAGATCATTGAAGAATCATTAGCCTATTTAAAAGTCAAGAGCAAAAAGAGACTAAAAAGTATATTTCAAGAAATTATAAAACAAAGCTACTTTCTGCAAAGTAGAAATCAAAAGAAATAACATTCACCTCCTTGAAAGAAACCCCAAAATGAAAACTTCCAGGAATATTAAGCCAAAATCCAGAGCTCCCAAGTCAAGGAGAATACTGCAAACAGCCAGAAAGAATTTAAATACTGAGAAGCCACAGTCAGAATCACATAAAAATTAGCAGCCATTACTATAAAGGAAAGGAGAACTTGGAATATGATATTCCAGAAAGAAAAAGATTTAGACTTACAATCAGGAATAACTTACCCAGAAAAAAAATAATTGATTTTGATCCTACAAGGGGAAAAATGGATCTTTAACAAAGTAAAGGACTTCCAAGTATCCCATGTGGAAAGACCAGAGCTGAGTAGAAAATTTGACTTACACTGGAGTCAAGAGAAATAGAAAAAGGTAAACATGAGTGAGAAATCATAAGGGACTAAACAAAATTTAGCTCTTTACTTTCCTAAATGCGGAGATGATACAAGTAGCCTCTCAGAACCCTATCATCATAGGGGATTATAGAAAGAGTAGAGAAGGTCTAGAAGTGATTATTATGTTTTGATGATATCAGAAGAAGAATGGAAAGGGTGGGGATGAGAAATACAATGGGAAAGTGGGAAATTAAGAAGAATGGGGAAAATTACCTCACATAAATGGAGTATGCAGGTAGAATTCTATACAACAAGTAGGTATGCTGCTGGGGACAGGGTGAGAATAGGTGACTCATGCAACTAAAAAGCTCTCAACCTCACTCTCATCAGAACTTGTCAAAGCAGGGTAGAACACACATACACACAGAGGTGGATACAGAAATATGTCTTAACTATGGAAGCTTTTTGTATGACTACACATGTATAAGCTGTGTCAAGTTGCTTGCCTTCTCAATGAGGGTGGGTGGGGAGGGAGGAAGGGAGAAAATTTGGAACCCAAAGTTTTAAAAAATGTTTAAAAAAAAATTTTTTAGTTGCTTTCACATGCAAAAAAAAAATTTTTATAAAATTTTTAAAAAGAAATATGTCTTACCCAACAGGGAAATATGAGGGAAAGAGATCAAGGAATATGGTCTGTGGAAAGAATAAGAGAGAGGGTAGATTAGTCAGAAGAAAAACAAACTCTTAAAAAGGGGACAGGAAAAAAAAGAGAAAGAAAAATATAAAAGAATAAGATGGAAGGAAATACACATTTAGCAGACATAACTATGAATGTGAACATGATTCATTCACCCATAAAACAGAAGAGGGTATCATAATAGATTAGAAATCAGCAACAATATGTTGCTTACAAGAAACAAACTTAATACTGAAAGATACACACAGATACAAAATAAGAAACAGGAGAAAAATCTATTATGCTTCAGCTAATGTAAAAAAAAAACAAGCATGACATCAGACAAAGCAGCTGCAAAAACGCACCTAATTAAATGAGATAAATAGGGAAAATACTTTTTACTAAAGGGTACCATAGACAATTAATATCAATACAAAACATATGTGCACCAAATGATGTAGCATCTAAATTCTTCAAGGAAAAGTTAAAGAAGTTACAGGGAGAGATAGATAGTAAAACTGTAACAATGAGGGGCTTCAACTTATCCCTCTCAGATCTAAATAAATCTAATAAAAAAAATTTTTTTAAATGAATGACCTGAATAGAATTTTAGAAAAGTTAAATATGGTAGACCTCTGGAGAATACTGAATGGAAAAAAAATAATTTGCCTATTTCTCAGCTGTGCAAGGCATCTTCACAAAATTGTCCACGTATTAGGGTACAAAAACCTCAGAAACACAACAAATGTAGAAAAGCAAAGATATTAAATGAATCTTTTACCAACCATAATTAAATAAAAATTACATTCAATAAAAATCCTTAGAAATAAATATTAAAAATTAATTAGGAACTAAGTAACATCCTAAAGAACTGGTTGATAAAAGAGCAAATCATAGAAACAACAATTTCATTAAAGATAATGAGGGAGGCTAGAGAAAAGTAATAAGCATTTACTAAGTGCCTACCGTTCAACACACTGTGCTAAGTGCTTTAGAAATTGTTATCTCATTTTATTTTCACCACAACCCTGTGAGTTAGGTGCTATTATTACAGTATTTCAATTTTACAGTTGAGGAAATTGAAGCAGACAGAAGTTAAATGATTTTCCCAGGGTCACATGGCTAGTAAGTGTGTGCGGCTGAATGACAACAATGAGACAACAAACTAAAATTTGTGGAATTCGGCCAGCACAGTACTTAGGAGAAAAGTTATATCTGTCAATCCTTTTGCAATTTAAAAAAAAAGTGAAAGAACAGAGAAATTAGTTAGGCATGCAACTAAGAAACCCAACCCTTTAAAACCCCCAATTAAAGGCCAGATGGAAATCCTGAAAAATCAAAGGACAAATTAACAAAATTGAAAGGAAAAAAAATTAAATTAGTAAATCAAACTAAGAGCTATTGTCTTTTGACAAAACAATAAAATAGATAATCTCTTAACTAATTTGATTTTTAAAAAAGAAAGAAGAAAACCAAAAAAGGCTTTAAACTTTCCTTACCCTTTGAACAAGTAGAAGTGTCACTAGATACCACTAGTGATAACTCTTCTAGGTCTTTTCCCCAATGCCAATAAAGAAAGAGAAAAGTACTCACATGAACAAAAATATTTATAGAAATTCCTTTCATAGTGTCAAAGAACTGGAAACTTTGGAAGTGCCCCTCAATTGTGGAGTGGCTGAACAAGTTTTGGTATGCAAAGGTGACAGAATACTATTGTGCTGTAAGAAATGATGAAGGAAATAGTTTCATAAAAACCTGGAAAGACATGTGAACTGATACAGAGCAGAACCAGAAGAATAATTTATACAGTAACAACAATTTTGTAAAGACAAATAACTTTGAAACACTTAGAAACTCTGACTAGCACAATGATCAACCACAATTCTAAAGGACACGTGATGAAACAGGCTATCCACCTCCAGATAGAGAACTGATAGGTTCAGAATACAAACTGAAACATATTTTCTTTTCTTTTTCTTTTTTTTGTTTTTTTTTTGGACATGGCTAATGTGGGATTTCATTTTGCTCAACTATACATATTTGTAATAGGCTTTGTTTTTCTTGCTTTCTCAAAGTGGAGGGGATGAGGGAGGAATTCAGAAAGGAAAATGAGGTAAAATTGAATTTTTTAAAATTCCATTTGTCTTTTCACTGTAGAAGAGAAATAGAGTCAGTCTAAGAAAACAGTTAAGCTCCATTGATTTCCCCCATTTCTTGGCCCCTATCTTGTCCCTCTGATGAAGTTTCATTAAATATTCTTTCTTCAGCTTTTCAATCATTAGTTCCCGCTGATCTTAAAAGTAAGTGTGCAGATGAGTCAATTTCCTCTCTGCTTCAGGGCACTGAAAGCTAAAGGGAAAATAAACCAAAGGGGCCTCCCTTCCAGTGATGCCGCTAGGAAATGCTTTCTCATTTACGCTCCAGCGGATTCTTACTCTGCACAGTGTCCTGTCTGGCATGGTTCACATAATATGAATTCCTTTGCACATTTGAATCTATCTAGCCTTTTCTCTCTCATGTGCTGCTTCATATGCAAGAATGCAACTACAGGCCAAAATACCAAAACCTAATGGGCTTTCTACACTCACTTTTCCATCACTTTTTTTTTTGGCTAGACAATGGGATTAAGTGACTTGTCCAGGGTCACATAGCTAGTAAGTGTTATGTGTCTGAGGTCAGATTTGAATTCAGGTCCTCCTGAATCCAGAGCCAGTGCTCTATTCACTGCATCACCTAGCTGCCCCTTTTCCATCACTTCTAAGAAGCACATCACTATGTCACCTTTATTCTAAAGTGTTTTTAGAAACCTGAAAGAAAAATAGAGAGTAAATCTCTAAGTCAGACTGAAAAGAGCTCAAGTCCCATATCTGACATATAGTAAGGTTTTTATATAGCACTCTGAGGTATGCAAAGAGCTTTATAAATATTATCTCATTTTATCTTCACAACAACCCTGGAAAGGAAATGTTATTTACATACCATATATTACTTCTATACAGTATATATGTATTTGTTGATACATAATATATAGTATCTACTATTATATAGCAGATAGTATAACATAGTATATTATGTAATATGATATGATATGATATGATATGATATGATATGATATGATATGATATGATATGATATGATATGATATGATATGATATGATATGGTGTCATATCGTATTATACCAAATAAGTTACTATGTACCATCATATATACTAGCTATGTGACCTTGGACAAGTCACCTATGCTCTCAAGCAGTGAAGCCTACAAGCTGAAGGACAGTTACAGATGTACATTGGTTAAGGTAATTTTACAATGGAAGGTACCTATACCAATGAAATCCAGTCTCCTCTTCACAAAAAAATAGATATGAACCAGACTGCCACCCCTCCATTAAAAGAAGTCTTAACCCAAACATGTTATAATGTCCTTGAGGTCCTTGAGAGCAGAGACTGTTTCATTTTTGTCACTATGTTGCCTGCATCTAGTAAAAGCACCTTGCTTCCCAGTAGTCATGTAATAATTATTGAATTGTTGAAATGAAGTTAAGAGCCTAAAACCAGGAAATATCAGCTGACCTAATAATAGCCGGCTTATTTCTTCAGTTTCTCCATTACTGCTCCAAGGGAGCTTGCGGTAGAGATTATGTGTTGGTTTTTTGTTTTTGTTTTTTTGTGGGGTTTTTTTTGTTGTTGCTGTTTGTTTGTTTTCAAAAACCAATTTCCTAACAGGTAGAATTTTCTGAGCAATGACAATTTCCTCTAAATGGAATGAGGCATTCCTCATTTCTTCAATTGGTATTCAAAGACTACCTGACAATAGAAGCCCAGGCAGTTTGCAGAGTGCATCTCAGAATAGACATAGTCTTATAATACTCTACACACATAATCATACCCTCTGACCAAATAATTTAATTTTGGCAACATACCCTGAAAGTGTTTTCAAAACTAACAACAGAAAGCTATCTGTTCAAAGATTTTCATAGCAGCATTATTTATAATTGTACTCTAAATGTTCAAGAGTAGGGCAATGGCCGGATAAATTTGGGTAATGTAACAGTACCATGATGTAATTAAGATAGATAGTATTAGTCATGAGAAAAAACCCAAAATCTGAAATAGTTTTAGAAAGAAACATATTAGGTCATTTAGTAGAAAGAGAGCCAGAAAGAAGGTGTGGCTTTCTCCATGAGTCTCTGTGAGGTTACATCACACAGAATTTAGACAAGGGCTTAAGGACATTTGCTGATTGGCCTCACATAGTCAGTAGGTAGTCTCTAAGAGAAGGGCAGTTGAAGATGTAAAGCAGCAGGTTAGTCAATCTAATTTGGGAAACCCAAAATGCAAGCTTTGAGTCGACCCAAAACAAGACCTGAGGAGACCCAAAGCAAGCACTGGATGAGATCTAAGCATTTCTTACATCCATCCAGATTTCTGCAGGTCTCTAAAGTCAGCCTGACCTCTGTGTTAAGCTTTTGGTTTAGTCAATTTTCTAGCCACATAAAGCTAGGTTCAACAATATTAATAAAGAATAACAAATATTTTCTCTACAACAGATATGAAAAATACAAAGAAATACAGAAATAATGCAAAGTGGGGCAAGAAAGCCAACCAGGGCAGAGTACACATTATTTATGAATATATGTACTGGGATATGCAACATAGTTTCTCTGTAGGACCCAGAGAGGCCCTGAAGGTTCAGATGAAGGAAACTGAGTCAGAAAGGCATTGAAAGTGGGACTGTCCTAACATAGGACCAGAGCAGGGATAAAAACAGGTGAAATCAAAGCACAGGCAAGATTTTTGTGCAATCCTACAAGTTATCTACATGCCTTTGCATTTCTTTATTCATTTACTCTGAGGAGAACTGCCAGCCTACCATTTAGTTCAGGCACTGGAGCCAGGCAAACAAATAGCTAGAGTGAATCTACTAAGAGTCTTTGCCTGTCATGTAACTTGGTCTCTGTTTGTAAATAAGGGGCAACAGGCAGGAGAGCTGAGATCCTAGAGCTGAAATAAAAACTACCAGCCAAGATCGTGGGGAGTGACTTCACTGAGGCATTATTTGAGAGTGCAGAGCATAGAGGAGTGATTGGGGCATGATGGGCTACAACCCTTCCCCAACCCTGAAAAACTGAGCAGTGTTAATGAAAATACATTTGGGTTTGGAAGCTAATTGGGGGAATTGCTCTATGAGAGAGACACAGTTTGACAGTTTGAGTTGGTTTTATTTTGTTTTCAATTTTAGTTTACTGTATAATAAACCAGATGGCCACAGAAAAGTTGGTTTTCCATGGGGAAAAAACAATATAGAGATTCCAAACTCAATGAGGAAATTTTCCAACCAAGCAAAAAAAGGTAAGCCATACAGATTTTCACATTTTAATAATGTTGAGCCATAGCCCTTAACCTACTTGTGGATCCATTCACAACCCAATCTGTAAGGATTTCTCTTTTTCTAACTCTTTGAAGCCATGTATCTTGATGGGGTTGGAATGTTTATACATGCACATACAAGTCTGTTACTCACACTGCAAGGTTGATTAGACCACAGGGCTGGTGGCTGGAGTGACATGCCACCTGGAGGATAAAATTATCATTTATACTCCCTTGCAGATTAATGGTTAAGTGACATCAAGTCTTTTTGTAAGCCTAAAAAAGGCAGAACATGATCTGGTTATGAACAACTCTTGCTATTTCACCACCTCAGGTGTTACCTTACCACATATCCATGCAGCCCACCTAAGTCACACCTAGAAAAAGAAAAGTAAATGGTGATAAATTAACAAAGGAGAAAGAATCTTGATGGCAGTTTAGAGGGACTACCAACTGGAAAGCTATAACATCTGGGGAACTGAATTTCATTCATCTAATAGAAAAAGTTGCAAAAACAAGTTTAGTTGCTCATACTGATGTTCAGTAAATTTTATAATAAACTATTTTAAGATCTTATCTCATTGAGCAAGTTTTTAAGATTACAACCTTTTTAGAAAAAAAATTAAATCACTAGTTTAAAAAAAAAACTGGTCCTTATAGTTTTAGGAATTCATAGTTAGCTTTGAAAACAATCAATTTCTTTAATATTTCAATGGATCTCTGATTTCTTTGATGTGGATATTTTCTCCAGTGATACAGATTGCAACCTACCTATGTCTTCCCACTATTCAAAATTATCAAATATAACCTCCTATGCTTTTCAAAAAAAAAAAAGGTCCTTCTAATGAGCTAGAGACCTTACTCCCTAGGGATTTTAACATTCTATGGCTACCAATCCATCATTCAAGCTGTCTGACCTGATTTTACCTATTACGAATTCATAGCACGTAATCTCCCAGGTTCCTGCTGATCACCAACAATCTTCTACTCAACCTTTCTGAACTCCCTTGCTCATTCCCCAGAGTAGCTTTCCCAGAGCTTTTATTTTCTCCCCTTGGTCCCAACTATACTCCCAACCCAAGGACTTACTCAAGAATAACTTACCACTTCCTTCACTGAGAAGATTGAAATCATCAGATGGGAGCCCCTCCCCTCCATTTCTCAAAACTTTTCAGTATCATTGCTTACTGT